TCTGAAACGCCCTTCAGAGGAATGCTTGTATCACATACCCCAACACTCGTTTTACGTTTCAAGTCCCTTTTATCTTTGTAACCCAGTAACATAAGGCCAGGGACATTTTCCCACACTCCACCTGACATAATCGAATTTCATTCATTAGTTGTTATTGTATAGAACAAATAGAAACCACATTTTGTTCATTTGTCTGTTTAATGTTTGTTTGTATTGCTGTATCATTTGAGAATTCCAAGACTGTAAAGCATGAGTGTGTGTGTCTGTGTGATTCTTTAATTTCAGCTGCCTTAGGTTTGGGTAAAGATATAAAGAAAGGTAAGTGGTTTTCTGTGAAACACAAGATTTTAACCATTGCCTGTCATGTACTTACCTAAGTGTTTTATTGGCAACCCTGAACCACTCATCCATATAAATGCACGGGGTGATTGGTATGTTTACCTGCTAACACCACAGCCCAGTAGCAGTTTAGGGGGGAACCACCTGGCAGAATTGTGTAGCCCTTGGAAGGGGTAGAGGGTAAGGCTCAAAACAGGTGGGTGGAGTCACTGAGAGCTGCAAGGTTCCCAGGAAATGGAGCAATGAACTCTGTGGCACAGGCAGGTCCCTTAAGGCAGGGCTTTTTCTGTATTCAGTCTTTATTTTGTCCTGGGAGAGCAGTTCATTCATTCAGTCAGAACTGTAACATTCAAGTACTAAATGTTTGTGTGCCTAGAAGCTAAGGGAAGTTTGAAACACATGTCTAGCTCCCTTCTTGCCCACCAGGGTAGAGCTCAACATTCCAGTCTCTCCTGATGCTTTAGCGAAGATGTAGGGTTAGTACAGTTGTGTCTGTTCCTGGGTTGGGCCACAGTGGAAAGAAGGGAGCTTGAGGAAGACTCCTCCTCGAGAATCCCATTGCTGGGAAGAGAGAGCTCTTTGCCCTCTACTTTGCTTTGCAACAATTATTAGCTTTTTATATTTCTTTAATGCATCCTAATAGGAAATGATTATTCGAGATAGATGCCCCTGGGGAACCCATAACCCTGCAGGCACTGGTGTCTTGCCAAGAATACTGAGTGGTTTGTCATTTTATATTAAATCACATCCTCCAAATATTGTGTGTGTTGAAGCATCTAAAGAACGGTTCACCCCTTATTATTAATTGACTAGAGGCCTAGTGCACGAATTCATGCATGGGTGGGGTCTGACCAGCCCACCCCAACGGGGGCCCATTGGGCTGGGCTGGCGGGGGGG